AAATTTGATACATTTGGCATTATAGGGTTAAAAAGTTATTTATAGGTACCCACTAATAGTATTATAAGATATGTTTGAGGGTTGCCGGTTTTATTTATTTTTATAGCTGGTTTTAATATGTGTGAGTTATATAATACCTTTTTTTAGAAAAGCTTAACAGAGGATTACATTTCACAAAAGCAAATTTTGTAATTAGGCTATAAGAGCTGTAAACCAACCAAGATTGGCGGTCCACCTTGTATGAACAGAAGCAGCGAAGAGACACATGTTAACTGCGGTGGATCCACCCCTAAGTCGTAGTTCACACTGCAAGGTTTTAAAATTGTCCAAGGATTTTATTTTGATTTTAACACAACAATCCAAAATTTTATATATAACACGTTTGGTCCATTTGGTTCTACTGCGGGGTATAAAACCACATGGCAAGCACAGCACAATACAAATGAACACTTAAAAAAAGAAAGAAAAAGTTTGATAAGAGATCTCAAAAATCCTCTCAGGATCAAATATGAGTTCAGACCAAATAAACATGGCCGACGAGGAAGAAGATATGACAATTATTGCTCTACTAATTTTATGAGAGGTTTTGGACTTATCTGGCTTCAACATGATAATAACATTTATATGATAAATGTTATGACAACATGATAATAAAATACAGATGATATTAATATTTGTCCTGGTTTATTAGCTTGGATGCTGGACTTTTTAAAGCTTTGACCCCCAACAGGTCAAAGTGAATGGTTGCATATCACCGCCTCTCCTCTCTTGGACTTGGCGTGACAGCGGCGTGTTCTCTACCTCGTCTTGTTTAATATTAATTGAACTTTATTGATCTCACATTGGAGAAATTTACCTCTGCATTCAACCAATCCACTTGGGGAGCAATGGGCTGCCATTGTGCGGCGCCCGGGAAGCAATCGTAGGTTAAAGGTCTTGCGCAGAGAGCCAGAGTGGCAGTCTGTGGGAGTGGGGATCGAACTCAGAACATCAGGATTTCAGGCTCTAAGCCCTAAACACTAGGTCGCCACTCTAAAATTAGCATCTAGCTAATCGCAAAATAGACATATCCTAGAATATGCTGGTGACACAGTAATCTTCAGTCTTTCACAACATGGGGAGGCGGTGGGTGAGGAATTTATTTCAGTCGTATGTCTAAACAATTTGAAACTGAATATTAAAAAAATAATAATACGGTAATATTTTGGTACAATAATCAACAATCAGCTGATCTTTAATCTGAAATTTAATATGATCTGCATTTAATGGACTAATGAGACTTATTTTTTAGGAACAGTAAACATAATTAATGTAAAAAAAAAAAAAAGTATTGAGCATCTTTGATAAGACATCAATTGAAACAGTTTTAACATTTTCTATCATCGCTTGGTGTGGTAGTCTAAATGTTCAAAACAAAAACAGTCTTGATCATTTTTTTTAAGGCAGCAAATAATAGTATTGGTGTTGCCCAGCCTTACCTGAATGGCATAGTAATCTGTCAATGAAAGCTAGGATCATATTACACTTCCTAGACCAACCGCTCCATCTGGAGTTCAAGCTTCCTGGGGATTTAGGCTTCCTAAGAAAAAGCAACAGATGGAAAAAATGTCTTTGTACCTATTGCAATCAGATTTTCTTATATATTCTTTTTTATTATAATAATTTATTTTATCTTTCTTTTTATGAGTTATGTGTTTAACATGTTGAAAAGTCACACTTTATGCATGTATGCTGAATGGATCGCAGCGGAGCAATCAGGAGCTCTGCGGTAGGAATAAGTGCAGGAACATGTTAATCAGCTGACTGCCATGTCAGATGATAAAGAGAGAAGCAACATAACAAACCAGTGCACACCCCTGCACTTATCTATTCAATGATAAATCTGTCGCACACTAATGTACCTGATATAATGATTAACAATTGAACTTTATTGATCTCACATTGGAGAAATTTACCTCTGCATTTAACTCATCCCCTTGCCACTGCCCGGGGAGCAGTGTGGGGTTAAGGGTCTTTTGCTCAGGGACCCAGAGTGGCAGTCTGTGGGAGTGGGACTCGAACTCAGAACTCCAAGCTCTATGCCCTAACCACTAGGCCACCACTCCCCTGATAAAAATGCAGATTAAGGTGCAGCCAGACTAACGTTGACAATGAAAACTGAAAAACAATTCCCTTCTTTAGTGAATCACTAAAGAAAATGTTATGCAAAATGACCAGAAAGACAGAAATTGTCTAGAACTTGTGCTGCATACATTTGTGTTGACCACATCCTTAGTTGCATTGTAACAATATGTCTGGTATGCATCAACTCCATGTTTGTTTTTTACTGAATAATTTCCTGTGTGGCTCCCAACAGCAATTGTAATTGTTATCATTTGCAAACTGACAGGCAAATTGAAGCAGTGCTACAACAAACTTAAGCAAATACAATAAAATAATTGTAATACATACATACATGGTTCCCTACGTGATATTATATCATTATTTCTCTAAGGGTGAACTCACTGTGGAGGGCTGACACTGACAGAATTAAAAAACAGGTGCAATAAAAGTGAGCGAAAATTTTTACCTTTACTCAGGGTAGATTCTTTAAGGAACACAGCTGCAAAAAAGCAAGAGTAATCCTGGCAAGATTTGCAGATCAGGTCAATGCATTGGTGATATTTCTAAAAGAATCTAGGTTATATTTTCACATTTCAATTATTTAATGTAAAAGAGAAGATAATATGTTTTGTGTGTGTATTGAATATGAGTCTAGGTGCAACACAAAATGCACCAAACGGGACGAACAAGGGAAGAGAAGATTAAAGATATAAGGTGAGGTCCAGCTCTAAGCTTTTATTTGTAACAGTAACCAACTAAAGCATCCTTTACATGGATAAAGGAGTTCTACTAGTTTTATTAGTTTATGTAGGATTCTAGTTATGCAATTATATATATGATTTACAAGGAAATAATGTATAGCAGGACATCACATTCTCAGTATTTCATACTTTTTTATTCAAAAACATAAAAGTGCTTCCATATGTGTCTGATTTAGTGCTGATATAGGAACATCTGATGACTTTAGAAAAATATTTATAAGAAGAGATATCTAATCTAATCATGGTCTAATAATTCTCTCCTTACTGAGGTACCTTTACAGCAGGGGTCTGCAACCTGCTGCTCCATATGTGGTTCTTTGAACCCTCTACAGTGGCTCTTAACAGTGCTGAAAAGTTTATAAAGAGCTAAATAATGTAGTATAACAAATGCCAGTCTTAAAAGCTTTAGTGAGTTTTATAAGATGGAAAGGAAAGACATTAAAGGACCAGAAATATAAATAGAGCCATCTTTTTTCTTTTAATAAGCTTGGAAATTGTGTTGTGATATTCTAACAGCTAAAAATAAATAAATTGTTTAAAAAAAGTTGTTTAAGATGTCAACTAATTTCTTATATGAGATGATAGAAATAATTAAAAGAAGTCATGTTATATGTTGCGGCTTTAAAATACTTTTACTTGGTTTGATTTAGGGCAAAATTGCTCTTTGGATATGAAAGGTTGTAGACCTCTGCTTTAGATTCTTTGCTCTCGAACCTCAACAGGTTCTTCCAGAAAAGAACACACATTTCTGACGCTTCCTTTTTTTAGATTTCAGCTAAAAAGTCCAAACAACCCTGCTACTGGGCAGGGTTCTGAAACGGATGAAAAAGGAATGCAGGAATCTACCACGGAAATGTGGAATACAGCCATGCAAACGACATACATTGTAGGCTGACAACTTGCAAATGGAGGAGACACGTGAACAAAATCTAAAAATTAGCTGATCACTCTGACTAAGGGATAGTAAATATCACGCTTTAAAATACATTAGTCATTTTTTGTTTTAATTATAGCCTTATAGGCAAAAAGCCTGGTGATGAAATTAGTTCATGATATTTCATTAAGGAAAAAACAAGCAAATTGAATGAAAATAA